GGCCGTTCGCTCCGCCCACAGACTTCTCCGCTTCCTCCCGGCCCTCCGCCCGACTCCAACCCGGCGGCCGACGAAGCGCACACCCCTTCCTCTGCCTCAGCCTCCGCGACGCTGCCGTCCACAGTGGGCCCAATCCTGTTTTCTCCGGAAGTCCCGCCCCCTCACCCGGGGGCCGCGGACCGCGAGCGCCGAGCAGAGCCCGGACCCCGACCTTAAGGTGCCCTTCCCCCACCTCTCACCGCCCGGCGCTGCCGCACGGCTCCCCCTGGTGGCGCCGCGACGGGCAATCGGAAATCGCCTACCTGTGCCTGTCTCCTCCCAGCAGCGCGCGCTTTGAGTGCCCGGCTCGGCCTCGGCTCCCGCGCTGGGGGGAGTGGTGCTCCGCCGACCGTCTTCCGCCCTTTGGGCCCTCACCCCCAGACTCGCACGAGCCTGGGCGCTTCCTTCTTTCTGCCGGCTCTAGGAACTTGCTGCTCCGCTGGGCTGGTTTTCCCTAAGCGTGTCTGGCCGTGCTCTTGCCCCAGCATGACATTTTTCAGGACGCCGTTGTCGAATCTCACGCAGAAGTCCTGAACCCATCCATGAAGATCCCACTGGTGGCTCCCCCACCCCGCCGGCATGAACGGGGTCCTGATCCCCCAGACGCCCATCGCTGTGGACTTTTGGAGCCTGCGCCGGGCTGGTACCGCGCGGCTCTTCTTCTTGACCCACATGCACTCGGACCACACGGTGGGCCTGTCCAGCACCTGGGCCCGGCCCCTCTACTGCTCTCCCATCACTGCCCACATCTTGCATCGTCGCCTACAGGTACGGGAGGCTGGAGTCGGCCTCCGAGAGCTGGTCCAGGCTTCGGAGCGGGCACTTCCGATCTTTCACAACCTCGGACCCACAAGGGCACAGGGTGGGTCCGGGAGCCCCAGTGTTTACCTCTGTGGGAATTGTATGAACCCCAAAGTGTATCTATAGTCCAGAATAGGAGCATAACTTCCAACTGACGACTTGAGATTATTTTAGCTATGAATTCGGGAGATCTCATAGTCCAGCCAAGGAAGTTATTTCTACCGTTTTACATAAACTAGGCCAAGTTTGTTTCCCAAACTTGCCACATCTTAAGAATCCACCTAATATGCTGAGTAAATATACAGATTCTTCAGCCCCTTTCCCCAACCTACATCCTCTGATTCTGGAGATATGACTGAGGTAGGTCCTGGAAATCTGGAGGTTTTTGAACAATTGCCCCCAAGAAATTATGATCAGGAGCGAGGGGTGGAGAATGAGAGGAGGAAGAGCAGATTGCTTGGGAATTGCCTTTAGAGCTTCTCCAAGTGGCTTGGGCTTTGGTAAGACTTCCTTGATTCATGTGAGGGATAGTCCCTGACCTAAGGAGGGCCAGGGAGGGGCCTTTGTGGTCACTGGGATGACCAACTGTTTCCTCAGGTATCTAAGCAATGGATACGAGCTCTGGAAGTTGGTGAGAGCCATGTATTGCCTCTAGATGAAATTGGCCGAGAGACCATGACTGTCACTCTCATCGATGCCAATCACTGCCCTGGTTCTGTCATGTTTCTTTTCGAAGGATATTTTGGAACCATCCTCTACACAGGTGAGCCTCCTGAGGGATCTCTCTCACTTTTCCAGTCTAGATACTATTTTTCTTAAGCAGCCTTGATTCTTTATAGAAATCTGGACGCTTTTAAGTTTCATCACATATGAACACAGTAACTCCTTCTTAACTGACACAATCCTGTTCTTTAAGAATCCAAGCCTCGTGAAGAATAACTACAAAAGAAGAGCAGGTTGGAGACATTTCTTCAAAGAAACTATACTGCATAATTCAGCCCCAGGTCACGTAACAGTTTTCCCACAGGCCAGTAAGCAAATGCCCATCTGTTGTTGGATATGAAAGAGGCTTATCTTCTATTCTCTTATCTCTAGCCCTCATATATTCTTCCAGGTGATTTTCGATTTACACCATCCATGCTAAAGGAGCCAGCCCTGACATTGGGAAAGCAGATCCATACTTTATACCTGGACAACACCAATTGCAACCCAGCCCTCGATCTTCCTTCTCGACAAGAAGCTGCCCACGAGATTGTCCAGCTTATTCGAAAGCACCCACAACATATCATAAAGATTGGTGAGTTCTTTCTATTTTCTTTTACCCATAACTAGTGAGTCTAGGTTCTTTGAAGGTTCTCACATTTCTCAACTCTTTATATACCTCTGACCTTCTCTATGAAATCTACTCTGACCACCTTGTATAAAACTGCAACCCTATCCACCATCCCATTCCCATATTCCCAACCAACTCCGGTTCCTCTACTCCAATTCAACTTTTTCCTTTTTTAAAAGAATTATTTTTACTGAACTTTATTATTTTTTATTTTTTATTTGACCAGAGAGGGACAGAGTGAGAGAGAAAGAGGGAAAGTGAAAAAGCAAGCCACCAGGTCTGAGACTAGAACTGTGATCAGCCATGTGGGAGTCTAGCACCCTTAACCAAGTATTTGCCAATCACATATTTTTCCCTTTTTTTAGAATTATTTATTTTACTTATTATTATCATTTTTAAAAAATGTGACCAAAAAGAGACAGAGAAAGAAAGGGAAAGTGAGAAAGCAAGCTGCCAAGTCTGGGACTTGAACCACGGTCGACTGTGTGTGTCTAGTGCCTTTAAATACCATGGCACCTGCCAGTCTCTATTTGTGTTTTTTAGCAGCTATTTCTTGTTATTTGTCATTTATTTCTTCCCTACACACACATAAACTCCTTGAGAGCATTGATAGAAATAGGAAAAGCTTTGTGTGTTTGCGAAACAAAGAAGCAAAAAGTCGGTGTAATAGGCACACAGTAGGCAAGGAGACTAGAAAGGCAGGAGGAGCTGGAGTGCTAGTAAGTCTTTTTGAACTTGATCCTAAACCCAACAGAGAGCTATTGAAGGATTTTTTTTTTCTTGTCTGAAGGCATGTTTGCTCACCAGAGAGAGAAAGCAGCCCACAATGGGATGTGGTCATGCCACAATCCTCCTTCCTCCATTTCTTCGTCCTGTCAGGATATTGGGCTTGCATGCACATGCACCCAGTGTTATTTTCAAGTTACAAGGGCTGTAATTTGACTGCAGCTGGCCATCCAAGCAAGCCAGCTCATCATACCCAGGACTTAACTGCTGTGCCACCAAGCCAGCCTGAGGTATTTCTTTTAAATTTTCTATAAGGTATATGTGCTCATAGAGAGAATGAGAAAAAGCCCCCAGGGGATATGACCACACCACAATCCCTTGTCCTCCATTCTCTTGGAATTTGGGGCATACACACACATGTACTTAGCATGTTTTTTGAGCCGCCAGGTCCAGGAATCAAACCTGCCCAGTCAGCTATGTGAGATCCAGCTGCCTTAATTATCATGTTATCTGGCTGGCCCCCTTGAAGATTTTTTTTAACTGAACTTTTTAAATTATGCCATATGGTGTATATGAGAGAGAAAGAGAGACAGAAGGCACCTCCCAGTGGGGCCTGGTCATATTACAATCCTTTTTCATCTAATTCTTCATTGTTTCAGGATCCTAGACAGGCACACATGCCCCTAGCTTAGAAACCACATGCAATGACATGAACCATGGTCAGCCACATGGGATCTGGCTTCCTCTACACAGTATTTAACCACTGCACATGGGGCCAGCTCTATTGAAGGATTTTAGTTTTTAAATTTTTAAAATTTTGTTTATATTTTTTTAGAGACATTTTTTGTTATAGGGTAGACGTGCCTGCCAGAGAGAGAGAGACAGAAAACGAGAAATCACCCCCCTGGTGGGGTAGCCATGCCGCAAATCCTTCTCCATTTTCCCCTTGGAATTTTGGGCATGCATGCACATGCACCCAGCATGAATTTTAAACTGCCAGGTTTAGGACTTGAACCATGGTCTACTACATGGGAGTCTAGCTATGCAACCATTAGACCATCTGCTGGTCCATCTATTGAAGGAATTTAAATAGAAGAGGGATAAGATTGTACTCATCACCTTTCAGTATGTTCCATATTTACATATAGTTTACATATTTCTTACAGTTCGTTTTTATTGTCCCCACTGCTGGAATGTGAGTTCCATGATGTCAGAGCTCTTCATTTTATTATGAATATATCCCAGATGCCTAAATTAATGCCTGGCACAGCATTCAATACATATTTGTTATATAAATGGATGAAGTTTGTCTGAGTGTAGATATTTAAGTGAGCACTGTGCTTTAAATTAGGTACATTGAAAAAACAGCTGTAGGTTTTTCTAGTCATTCCACAGTGATACACAAACATGCTTGAGTTTGCCTTTCTTTTTTTTTAAACTTATTTATTTTTGCCAGGAGAGAGACAGCAAGAGGGCAAGTGAGAAATCATCCACCGGGGGGATGACCACACCAAATCCCTTCTCCATTCTCTCAGGATTTGGGCACGCATGTACGTGTACACATCATGATTTTCAAGCCACTGGGTCTGGGACTTGGACCATGATCAACCATGTGGGAATCGACCACCTTAACCACCACACCACCTGCTGGCCTGCCTTTCTTTTATTTTAAATTTACTTATTTTATTCATAATAGAAAGTATATGCATGCACAGAAGAAAGAGAAGAGTACCTTTGACAGAGTCTGGTCCTCCCATGATCCTCTTTCTTTTACAGCTTATCAGGATCTTGGGCATACGTGTACAGTGGGTATGCTTCAGGTCCACCATGCTGGGGTTCCAAATCTGCAGTTCACCCTATGGGTTTCAGTACTCTAGTTAAGTATTTATTTATTTATACAGAGCTTTTTTTTTTTTTTTTTTGGAGAGGTTTTTGCTATAGGGCGCTCATGCTTGCCAGACAGAGAGACAGAAAGTGAGAAATCACCCCCCAGGGGGGATGGCCATGCCACAATCTCTTCTCCTCCATTCTCCTCTCACGATCTTGGGCATGCACGCACATGTGCCTGGCGTGAGTTTTAAGCCACTGGGTCTAGGACGCGAACCACAGTCGACTACATGGCCAGTGGGTCTGGGACGCGAACCACAGTCGACTATATGGGAGTCCAGTGACATAACCATTATGCTAACTGCTGGTCCCCAGAGAGCTTTTTACTATAGGGTGCGTGTGCTCACCACAAAGACAGAAAGCAAGAAATCACTCCCCAGGGGCGGTGGCCACACCACAATCCCTTCCACTCCAAGCTCCGCTTGGGCTTTTTGGGCATGCACGCACATGTGCCCAGTGTGAGTTTTAAGCCACTGGGTCCGGAACTCAACTGCAGTCGACTACATGGGAGTCCAACAACATAGTGATCATGCCATCTGCTGATCCCAGCACTCTAGTTCAGTACATTACCAACTGCACCAAAGTGTCTGGGCTTGGAGTTGCCTTCTGAGGTAGTTTATGAAAATTTAACTTTGCTTTAAAAAATGTACATGTAATTCTTAATGACTTTTATGGTTTTGAAAATTATGATATGATTACAAAAGGGAAGAAATTTGTCACCATTGTGAATATTTTAAAAAAGACATGTTTGGGGAACCAGCAGTTAGCGTAATGGCTATGTCACTGGACTCCCACATAAGTCGACCGTGGTTCGTGTCCCGGACCCGGTGGCTTAAAACTCACACCGGGCGCGTGTGCGTGCGTGCCCAAGATCCCGAGAGGAGAATGGAGGAGAAGGGATTGCGGCATGACCATCCCCCCTGGGGGGTGATTTCTCGCTTTCTGTCTCTATGTGTCTCTCTGTCTGTCTGGCGAGTGCACGCGCCCTGAAAATCTTTCAAAAAAAAAAAACATGTTTGGACCAGACCCATGGTCAGGTGGTTAAGGGAGCTGTATCCCACATGGCCAGTCTTGGCTCCAGCAGCTTGGGAAACATTACAGGAAAGTGTGTGCGCATATCCAAAGTCCTGTCAGGAGGGAAAAGTGGAGGAGATGGTATTGAGGCGTGGAAACACCTACTGGGGAGTGTTTTTCTCTGTCTTTCTGATAAGCTCACTTGCCCTCTTGCAAGTAAAAAAGAAAAAAAAAAAAAAAGCCATATTGCAGCTCTGAAAGTAGTTTCAAAATAAGGTTAAGCAAAGGGCATCAAAATTGAGGTTAGAGGCCAGCAGGTAGTATGGTGGTTAAGGGTGCTGGACTCCCACATGGCCGACTGCAGTTCGAGTCCTGGACCTGGTGGCTTGCTTTCTCGCTTTACCCCTCTCTCATTCTATCCCTCCTGGTCATATTAAAAAATGGATGAGTTAAATCAAATAATTCTTTTAGAAGGAAAAAAAAAAAGCAAAGAAAATTAGGTTAAACAGAAACACCTTCTAGAGTGACTACCAAATTAACTGAGAAATAGCCCCACCCCCATTTTTTTTTGAGAGGTTTTCACTATAGGGCGTGTGTGCTCGCCAGACAGACAGAGAGACATAGAGACAGAAAGCGAGAAATCACCCCCCAGAGGGGATGGCCACACCGCAATCCCTTCTCCTCCATTCTCTCGGGATCTTGGGCACGCACGCACACACGCCTGGTGTGAGTTTTAAGCCACCGGGTCCAGGACACGAACCACGGTCGACTACGTGGGAGTCCAGTGACATAGCCATTACGCTAACTGTTGGACCAGAAATAGCCCCTATTTTTAAGGTTGTTTAACTGCCCATGAAAAATATCAGTCCTAAACATTCTTAGAGTTTGATTTTTTTTTTCTTTGCTTTGTTTTTTAATTTTGCTAGAGGGGTGTGTGCTTGCTGGAGAGAGAGAGAGAGGGAGGGAGAGAGAGAGAGGTAGAGGGAAAGTGAGAAAGACCTCCTGGGGGGTGACCACACTACAATCTCTTCTCCTCTCCATCTCCTTTGGGGATTTGGGGCATGCATGCATACCACGTGTTTTGTCAAGCTGCTAAGTTTGAAACTTGAACTGCACAATTGGCCATGTGGATTCAGCTGCTTTAACCACCATATCACAGACTGACCCCATTCTTGGAGTTTTCAAAACAGATTTTTCCCAGAGAAGCACAGCTGAATAGGAGGATGGTATTGTAGTGCTGGAAGACAAATGGCTGACTATAGTCTTGGTCAACCTAAAACACACTGAGTGTACATGCACACGTGCCCAAGTTTCTGACATGCTGGATGGAGGGCTGG